CGTGCAGTCAAACGGTTGTGGTCTCAAGGGGATATAAATCTACTATTTATTACCCCTTGGTGTCATCGGAGCGCTGGGCTGCCTCCGCAGCGCGTCGTCAACGCCGCGCCATGTCGTTCAACAAGGCCGAGAGCGTGGCGGCGACGTCGGGCTACTGGCGCTGGGTCGGCGACGTCGAGGAGATGCGGAAGCAGCGCAAGAGCTACCGCCCCAAGTTCCGCATGAACGGCACGGAGGCGGCCATCGCGTCCCTCGACCCCGACTGGCTGCTCGCCCAGGCGCGGGCCATGAACGACGCGCCGCGGCCGGAGAGCGACGACGGCGCGACGCCGCGGTCCGCGGCCCCGCCGCCGGGCTACGCGCTCTGCGCGGACATCTTCGCGCGGCAGCAGGCGTGCAAGGCCGACGCGCGCGACGCCAAGCTCGCGCGGCGCGAGCTGCGCGCGGCGGAGCGCAGCGCCGCGTTCAAGAAGGGCGTCATGCGCAACCTGAAGCGCGCGACGCACGACGCGCCCTTCATGCCGACGAAGCACCGCAACGCGCGGCCGTTCGCGTCGCCCCGGGGCTACGACGGCGGCCCCGCGGGCGTCGACACGTACAACGACGCGAAGCGCGGCTTCTACCACTCCATGGACACGAACCACCACGACGTCGTCCACCAGCTCCTCGACCACGAGACCAAGCACGTCGACGCGGTCGACCACCTCACGGTCAACCACGCGCCCCTCCCCGAGGACCGCGCGACGGTGCCGTCCTCCGCCTAATGGTCGATCATGCCCGTGCGCGCGCCGCGGCCACGGAGCGTGGCTCCCGTCGCGTTGACGCGCCGGTCGACGAGGCGCAGGGCCGCGCTCGCCGGCGCGGCGTGGGCGCGTTCCCGGAGCGCGCGCGCCGCGAGCGCGAACTTGTCCCGCCGGCCCGCGCAGTGGTGGTCGACGACGCAGCAGGCGCCGGGCACATGTACCGGGAGCCGCCAACCTACTGCGACTTCCTCGTCGAGGTGGCCAGCGGCGTCGCGCTCAACGGGTCCGCGAGCGACGGACGCCCGGAGCATTACTTACTCGTAATAAGGGAGGCTACGAAGCGTGGGCTGTTCGGCCACACGGGGTTTGAACGGAGCGAATGCTTCGATCTCGTCCACCGGTTTGTTGAACATGTGCTCCAGCTGCCCGAAGTAAGACACGAGAGCGTAATTCTCGTAAACGACGAACGTGTGCTCCGTATCGTAAGCGACTTCGTCCGTGATGTCCAACAACGAAGAAAGTGCGAAGACTTGATCGATGCTCTCTCTCGTTTGGCCAGGAGAAATCACAAACTTCGAGCCCGGAATTTGACTGTGTTGCGATTTCACCCATTCAATGTTGTTCTTCAGCCACGTCTTCACAAATCTCAAGGTATGACCCGACCAGAATGCGACGTCTTCGTCGGCAAGCGCGTCCATTCCGCCCTTCGGAAAATAAGCGAACGTAGCGAGCGCGCGCCGCTGCCGCCACGCGAACGGATCCACGTAACGGGTCACGCGCGGACGATCGTCCGCGCGTCGCATGAGATGGAGATGCCCCTCGGCCTCGGGAGCGAGAGGGGGCGAGCGGTCCAACACGCGCTTATGGCCGAAGGTGAAATACCAAGCCTCGAGCGCACGGATTTCGTAGTCGCAAATCCCGTCCACGAAGTTTGAAGCTGGTTCTGCTAGTAAATTTGTGCTTTCGAGGAGCGCGGCGTAAGTCATGCGGACCGCGTCCCTGCCGCTCACCTTGCACGTCCATTCCACGCCGCGCCCGCTCACGATGATAGCAGGGAACCATCCGGACTTGGTGGAGTTCTTGCGCTGCGCCCACACGAGGCACTTCGTGCCCGCGGCGATGGAGTTCGGCGGGCACCCGGGCATCGGCGGCTGGTCTTGGGGGTCGTCGTCGAGTCCCATGGCCGACATTTTGGCGCTCGCGTGACGGTGGACGGACGAGGCGTCGGTGGTGATTGTCGCTCTTTTCGAGAGCTCCACGCCTCTCCGAGCGGAAATGGCCGGCTAACGAGCGCCGCGCGCCGCCGCGCGCGGCCTCTAGCGCATCGTTCGACGCGCTTTTTCTTCCTGCTGGCAGCTGTGGCCTAATATCTGCGTCGCGAACGCGTCGCGCGGGTCGGAGCGCTGCGCGCGCGCGCGAGAATCCCGTTGCGGATCGACGGCC